GAATAAACTCCGGCTTATTGAAGAACAGAATATTTATATATATGTGCTCAGTGAAGGCGAGATTCTTTGGCCATGGAAATTTGGCCTTCTCCACAGGTTGACGGCGAAACGGCGAGACCCGACTGGTATTTAACCAAACTCCGGACGGGTCCGGTTCGACCCGAGGTAAATCCCAAAATTTATTTCTTTATTTATTTTTAGTTCAACGGATCGGAAAGTTCTAATCTTTTAATGGAAAGATGTGTTTGACAAGTTGAACTGAGTTAGGGTCTGTTTGGCTTGAAATTTTGTCCGTAACTAAAATTTAACGAAAATGTTAAAATAGTAAAATAATACTTTTAAAAATTTTTAATTTAGTTTCTGAATTTAAAAAATAATTATTATTTTGGTAGTAAACTTTAAAATTGTATATTTTAATATTTGAATTTTTACGAAATAGGTATTATGTTCCGTTTGTATTATTTTCGTGGTCATGTACTATGATATTGAAATCTAAAATCTTATATGTTTTTTTAAGATAAAATATTGGAGATTTAAATATTTGACTTAAGCTGGCTTGAGTGACATTCGCAAATATTATTAAAAGAACTATTCATTTATAGATATCTAACATTTCCTCCCACTATATAACATCTCACTGTATAACAATACAATAGTTTGAACACAAGACCTACTCTGATACCATCTAAAATATGAATAAATTACCAATGAATCTAAGTGTTTAAGCTAATGGGTTTGAGTAAATTTAATTCATCTATTGAAACCTAACCTCATGCATTTTCTTCCTTTGCATTTTAGTTTATGCTTGAGGAATTTAAGAGAAAATTGATTGAGGAGTTAGAAAAAATTGGTTGAATAATTTTTACTGATGTTTTATACTTTTACAATTGTTTTGAAATTAATGTCGAAATGTTCCTTCTATCAATATAAAATTCAAATAGTTTGAAAATGAAAATATACAGGTAACTCGAGAATGTTTAAACCATGAGATTTAAATGGAGAGTCTAAACAAACTTGCACTCAAGAGAGAACTTTTTCCCTTTTTTTCCTTTTGAAGATGAAAGGGATGACTACATAAAAGTATATCAAATAAGTTCTCTCACTTAAAGCTTGCATTAGATAATATGGCGTTATTATATAGGTGCCCCTCAACAATGAACTACATTTAAAAGTAAAAAAATAAAAATAAAAAAATACCAATATTTTGAAACAAAATTTCTATCATTTATTTCTTGAATGGGGTGAAGATTAGAATTTTTTAATTTTAAAAGGTTAATGGCATCTTGACATCATTTTTTAATATGATATATAGGATTAGGAATTCTAACTCACAACTTTCTAATAGACATCATTTTTTTTAGTACAACATGTGGGGTGGGAGTTCGAACTCACAATCTCTTGGTTGGAGATATATGTCAGTTTAGTTATACTCATTTTAGACTAACAGACATTATTTTATTTACTACTAAACTATATAAACATAAAATAAAATCATATGAACCGGACTTTTGAACCAATGCTAAATATCTGACCGGAGATGTTGGACCGGGCTTTCGAACCGATGCTAAACATCTCTGATCTCCCATCGCCCGGACTCGGAGGCAAAACGCCGCAAACCCCAAAAGGGGTCTCTGGTCCCTCGATGGGTTTGAGTTTGTTGGATTGCTGAGCTTTTATTGGGTATCCGTTGCGAAACCCACATCCAACGACAGCTTCAGCTTTACAAATCCACGCTCTCTCTCTCTATCTACGAAGGTACACATGATCAATTCCGCGCTCTCTCTCTCTCTCTCTATCAACGATTGCTGAGCTTTGTTTGTTTGAAATGTTAATTGCAATTGTCCCATAATTGGAGGAATTGCCAGAATGTTGCTAAGAGGGATGCACGTCTATCGTTTGCTGCAGCGTCGTAATAGAATCTCATTAGTTCCTCTGAGATTACCCTAGATATCGATTGTTATTTGAGTGCACTGCTAATATTCTGAGTGCGTCTGAAACTGAGGGCATTGCTCGAGTAGTTGCATGCGAGAGGTGGGCTTTGAGAATGGAGATGTGTAATAGTAAGATAGCGATGGGGTTGAGAAGTTGTTTCTGTGAGGACCCAGAATTGAATTGTATGATTAAACCCAATTCTGTGATTGAAATTTTGTTAGGCATTTGTGCAGTTTTTTTTCCACCTCAATGGCAATCTTTTGACACTCTGTATAATCACGTGGAATTTTAAATCGTGACGGTTGGCTGTTGTGTATTAATCAGCATGGTTACTGATCCATGATCTGTTTTCTCCAGAATTACATTCTTTACAATATGAAGAGGCCAATGCCGTGGAACGAACAAGTGGATATTATTTCATCAGGTGAATCTTCTTCCTCTGATTCAGAAATAGGAGGTCAAAATGATGGGTTTGAGTTCAAGCCTTCGATGGATGATTTGAAAATCCCTGCCAAAGGAATCACATCTGAATGTAATTTGACCTTTGTCTTCGTTAGATCGACAATTCAACGTACTGCACGAGACCAATTCAGAATTCCTAATAATCAATGCTGCTGCATACATTAATTTTTCACATTCATAAGCTCTGAGAAAGATCTTTAAAATGTCTTCTAATGAAATGATGCAGGTTTTACTAAAAGGGCAGAAATGTATCAAGAATACATGAGACATACCAATTCCAGCACACCGTGGTTCTGTAATACCATTTACAACATGGATGGGATTGGGCAAATCTATAAAGCAGCTATATGGTCAGCCTTTGCATTACCTGACTAATATTCAACTAAAACAGTGGGATCAATTAAGATTCGTAAGTTTGGATGAATATAAGCCATTGGATTCTGTAATTCATCCGAGTAAAGCCGAAGCAACCGTATGGATGGTTGAAGAGATTCATAGGCGCACCTCATCCCATCATCACGTTCCTAAACTTTGGCTATCAGACGCAATGCACCATGTGTATGTTGACTCCATTTTCCCCCAACTATGAAAGCTGCTTCCAGTTATATTATGGTCTGTGTTGATATTACAACATATTTCTAGGAGGCTACCAGTCAGTGACAATGTGATTGTTATAGGAACAGCATTTTTCTTTTGTCGCGTTTCTCTAAAATCTGTAGGTTTCTTATTAACTGATAGAGAACGTGTTCCAGCATTGCTGCTTATGTCCATCATTGCTGTCCATCTGTGAAGTAGTTGATTGCATTTACTTTTGTAGCTTACAGATAGAAAGACAACCTTAAGTTCTGCATAGAACGAATGTAAATCAAAATTTTTGAAGATGCATATTTTCTTTTACAGTTCTGTTCTATCCGAGAATTATGTTACCAATAATCACCACATGAACAAGACCCATGTCGAAAGAAGTGAAATCTATTATTATCTCGTACTGTTATTTCCCTACCATACACTTCTGAAATGTATTTGGCAAATGCATGACAGTCTGAGCACATTCGGAGATTCTTCATAACACGAATCCTCACATGTTTTTCTGTACTTATAAGCCCGTAAGCCATGGCTAGCTTCTCGCTATGTCGGTTGAGCAAATATTGTTTCTCTTGCTCATTTACATCAAGCAGAACATTGGTTAGATCAGGAACATAGCCAGCATCACCAAGCCTGCAGGTAACTTCTTCTAGCATCATGTCAATGTCATAGTTTTCTGGGTGTGATCTGTCGCCTGAGGTGAACTCATGGATAACTCCATCAACTTCTATCAAGCTTGAACCAGGCGTTTTCTGAACCCCTTTGTCCCTCAGCTGTAGCCTCACATTCGCAACATCGGCCCACTTTCCAGCTGAAGCATATATGTTTGATAGAAGCACATGAATCCCAGTCCTTTCTGGAGCCACTTCTGCTAACCTTTCAGCTGCAAACGTTGCCATATCGAGATTTTTATGGGTACGGCATGCAGCCAATAGAGATCCCCATATGATCCCATTGGGTTTCATTGGCATGCTCTTTATAATATCTAGAGCTTCTTCTAACTTACCTTTACGGCCTAATAGATCAACCATGCAACCATAATGAACAATTTGTGGAGAGATTCCATGTTGCTTCATTGACTCAAATATGTACTGCCCTTGTTCAACAAAACCACCATGGCTACAAGCTGTCAATATGTTTACAAATACTACTTGATCTGGTTTTATCCCCTGCCTTAGCATCTCATTGTAAAGTTCTATAGCTCGTTCTCCATTCCCATCCACAGTCATTGCTCCAATGGCTGCTGTCCACGCATAGACGTCTTTTATATTCATATTGTCGAACACTTCCATTGCACTACGAGAATCGCCACACCTAGCAAACATATCAACTAATGCTGTCTCAAGCAACATATCACAGTAGATGTTATTCTTTACAATGTAGGCATATATCCACTTGGCAAGATCGAGAGCCCCGAGATATCCACACGCAGATGCAACTTCTACCATTGTCACTCTATCGGCTTCCATTTCCTTTGTCTGCATCTCTCTAAAAAGTTCAATTGCTTCTTTAAACATGCTCTCTTGAACCAAAGCATTTACCATTGTGTTCCAAGACACAATATCCTTTCCAGGCATCTCATTGAATATCTCCCGAGCCGACCCTACATCTCTGTTTTTTATATAACCCGCGAGTAACGAGTTCCATGAAATGATAGTCTTATTAGACATACCATCAAAAACTCTACATGCTAGCTCTTGTTTTCCAAACTTCATATACATATCAATCATTGCATTGCAAATGTTATCCCAAGCTTCATACCCATGTCTTAGAGCATAATTGTGGCAGCACTTCCCAAGTAGATAGTCACCCATCTGCCCACATGCTGAGATCGTCGAAAGCAACGAAACTCTATCTGGTCGAAGATCTTCTCGGAACATACCTACCAGGATAGCAAGTACCTCATTCGGCATACCATGGCGTGCAAAATTTGACATGATTGTGTTACATAAAACCAAATTCTTATCAACACATCCATTGTATAGTCGTTTGGCGGCACCAATTTCTCCATATTTCATGTACATATCCACAAGTGCGTTCACCATTTGAGTATTAAGCTCCATTTCTGACTCTTCAATATAAGCATGTATCCTCTTGGCCAGTTCAACATCTTTTAACTTGGCACAAGCCGATATCACACACACCATTGTGACAGAATTGGGTCCAACACCTGCCTCGATCATTTGGAAAAACAAAGCCACGGCCTCTCTGGAAGAATCTGTCCTACCATAACCACAAATCAAGCTAGTCCATGAAACAACATTTCTCTCGAGCATTCCATCAAACACCTTCCGTGCGAATGAAACTTCTCCTGCTTCCCCATACAGATGTATCAGAGAATTAGCAACAAACATATCTCCCTCCAAACCAATCTTCATTAGAGCTCCATGGAGCTGAACCCCTTGTAAAAACGCAGCAGCTTTAGCGCACGCACTCAACACAAATGGAAACGTGAAATTGTCTGGCAAAAAGCCAGCCCCTTTCATCTGAATGTACAGTGAAACAGCTTCATCGCAAAGCCCTGCAGCAGAGCATCCTCTGATCAACGAATTGTACATGAAAAGAGTAACATTCTCTTCGCCATCTTCCTCGAAGATATTGAATGCCTTTCGAGCATAATCCATGCTTTCCCAAGTACCCATTTCCACGCAGGCGGAAATCAGCTTAGTTACAGCCGATTGTTTACGAATGACGCCCTGCTTCGAGACATAACAGTGCAATTGTCGAAGCTCATCCATGGTTTTGCAATTTCTGAACAACCCACCTCGAAAATGGTGGGAAGGGGTATGCTTTGAGTGGTTCGGAGAGGTGGGTATGATGCAGTTCGGCGTGGCGGAGACTGGAGGACATGGATGAAGATTTGCGGCCATTATGGCGTCAGATGGGTGTTGCACTGCGCAACGAAGTTCTTACTTAGAAGTAACCATGCATTCAAAACAACGTCTTTTACATTGATCGCTCAATGGAGCTCCTTTGTCACTTCGGGCTATTCGTAATTGAAGTACATTGTGATGAAATCTTTGTTGAGTTGGTTTTTTCTCGTCCAGTAATGACTTCTTTTTTCTTTTTTTTTTCTCTTTCGTTTGTCCAATCTTAAAGTTTCAAAAGGGACACTTTTTGGACCGACCAAAAAACACATTTGTCAAAGCATTTTCGAGACCATTGAAAACCATTTTATAAACCTCAATAACTAAAAATGTCACTTTCTAAACTTTAGGACTTATGCTCCAAATTTCAAAGACTAGAATTATATTTTGTCCTTAATTAAAAAAATATTCACCAAAATCCGTCAACCAAACATAATTCAACAATTAAGACACAAGAAAGTTTCTCAGGTTTGAATTCTTCATCCCACCATTGCAATGTTGTATTTTCAAGGAAAAAGAAAAAGAAACATTCATCCCACGCTTATTGGTAAATAAAGAGACAAACTTCCATGAATAATAGAGTAAATTTAAATATTGAGAATCTCAACTGTGTAAAATCAATTGGGCTTTGTTTGTCTATACAATCTAAATGCATTATACCATAAATAAAGTTTAAAGTTTAAACAATGACCAAATTCTTAGAACCATAAATCAAAACTATTGGGAAGAGAATGCTTCAGTCACAAATTCTGAGGCAAAGACAGATTGATAGTAGCTGCGATCACAATTTGAGAGCATATATTTCAGCATCTACAAGCAAAATATCACATCACAAGGCGCAAAAGCAACAAAAACCACCATAGTTTTGACTCCTTTATTTCTACATCAACCCTCAAAGCGATGAGTTGAAACGAATTAAGGACCGCGTGGTGGGCCGAAACAGAAGCAGCCAGCAGCTTGGTCATCAGGAACCATCCCCCCTCCTTTGCTTGTATCAATGGCTTCCAACAGTTTGACAACCTCATCCATTTCAGGGCGTTTGGCTGGATTTCCATCCCAGCATTTCCTCATCACATTTGCCAGAGAACTTGGACAGCATTTCGGAATCTCGGGTCGCAGATTCTGGCAAAACAAAATGCTTATGCTTCAGATCTTCTTCACGAACAATATGCATAAACATAGAATTCAAAGCAAAACAGTAATTAAAAGGGACAGGGTTTTTATAGTTTCGTGTTCATCGGTATATATTATTTTCATGTACTCAAGCAGCCTGTATTTCTTATTTGTCTACCCTGCCTCACAAACATAAAGATAATGGCAACGAACAAGAGACGTAGGAGATATATTTCATTAAATACAACTGAAACACCGAACCTGTCGAACAACAGCAGATGACACATCTGCGAAACTAAGATCAGGATAAGGCATATCGCAGCAGTAAATTTCCCATAAGCAGATTCCAAAGCTATAGACATCACATCTTCTATTGTACGGCTTCCCATCAAGAACCTAAAAATGTGGTAAAATATTGGCATTATTAGCTCCTACTACACAGCAACTAGACATTGAGGTATGATATCTCATCAATAATTATTTACATTGAGCAGAAACTCAACATGTTTTAGCGCATACCACCACATCTGAAATCACACCTTGACTAAAGTTATTTGATAATCATTCAGAATGATTGCATAATCATGTTCTTCACCTTTTCTTTCCATCATTTCAAATCACAAGGTAGAACAAGCCACAAAAATGAAAACAAATCCAGATATAGAGAGCAAATCGATACTGAGCCTCCAAGGAGATAAAAAGTTGATGCAGAAGAACATAATAATTCAAATCGGTATTCTTTCTTCCAAATACATCAAAGCCATTTATAATTTTAGAATATCTGTCTTCGGTTCTAATAGCTATGACACATGATAAAACAGCATGGCTAGTGCCAAATTATCACGTATGTTAAGAAGAGAATGGCAAAGTTACCTCTGGGGCCATGTATCCAAGGGTACCAGTTTCCCCAGTCATGTCTCTTGGATTCTGAGCTTCAACACGGGCAACACCAAAATCAGCAATTTTAAGAGTTCTGTGAACATCTAGCAACATGTTTTCGGTTTTGACATCACGGTGTACAATCTTCTTAGAGTGTAGATAACTAAGCCTGTAAAATTTAGTTATAATCGTCATCGGTAATTCTTCTACATAAGAGAAGATGATACAGTAGCAGAGGCTTGTTCAAAAGAGAGAGAGAGAGAGAGACTTACCCTCTAGAGAGATCCAAAGCTATTTGAATCACAGCCTTAAAGGCAAGTTTCTTTCTTCTGTTCCTTATCAAGTATTGTTTTAATGTCCCACCAGCAAGATACTCGACAACAACACAGCAGGCCCTTGCGGGTAGCGAATTTTGACCATCCATTGAAGAACCTTTTGAAGGAATCTTAAGATTTGTAGCTCCCATTGAAGCTCCAACAAACTGATATGGAAGATAAGAAGGATAATCATTACATAACTCGTCACAAAAAGAGAAATTAGGAAAAAGAAAAGTTCTAACCTAAAGTATAATGATAAATAAAGTAATAACAAAATAAAAAGAGTAAAGAAAAGCTTCAATGATTTTCCATTCCACAAAGTACAAGAAAAATCATCCCAAAGAGGTACAGAAAAAGCTAAATTCATATATATAATAATGTGGCAAACAACAATCATGTTTCATCTTTTAAGTATGTGTACATGAACATCAACGATTCACTATAAGAACTTGAAGAAGCAGAAGAGGAGGAGGAAGTTTGTACTTTTGTAACATTAGGATGGTCAAGCTTGTGCCAAACAGCAACCTCTTGCCGAAATGATGCCCGCAGAGCAGCAGTTTCTGCAGTTGTGGCAAGACCATCCTCCCCCCAGTCCAATAGCTTCACTATAATAAAGAAAAAGTACAGTTCAGCTACAATTTGACATCAACTAAAATTTTTAGAAGGATAAAATGTTCATTATTAAAAAGTAACAGCATTAAGAATTATACGGTTCCCCTCACATAAAGCAACAATGTAATAGGTAATCAGTAGCAAACACCCAGCTTGAAATTAAGTCCACTCTTCCACATCATGCCAACTCATCTAAAAGTAGGGCATCATGATTTTCAGGCTCACATAAGGTTTCTCGTTTTTTCATGGACAAAGAAGAATGTGTTTCACGTTTTTAAGGGTCTATTATCAAATTAAACTTTAAACAAATCATGTCAAAATCCTAAATTCACCGAAGTTTTAAATTATAGGTATAGAATTCCAAGATTCCCATATTAGTTTCCAATGCCCACTCACAAGTAAATAGAAATCATGTTACCCTTTTTGGCTTTAACAAAAAACGTATCTATTATTTTAACAACCAGTTTCCAATAAATTGCTTCACCTCTGCAATTAAAGCAGAAGTAAAACTAAAAGAGAAAAGATGAAAAATAAAAGGATGTTTACCTGCGACATCTTGATTGTCATAAGCACCCCTGAATACTGTTCCGTAAGTCCCATGAGCAACAACATATCGGATATCAAGTTTAGACAAATCAATCTCCCACTCCTCCTTAGGCTTTTGGTTTTCAACGTTCCTTGACCAAACCCGGCTCAAGTGCTTTTCCAGCTGCATATCTAGGTTTTTCAAATCAATCTTATCTGCTCTGAATATCATGTCTTTGCTGCTAATGCTTCCCATACCAGCCACCTTTGAATTCAGAGTTCTATCCTCACTCTCTGTCTCCTTTGGGGTCTTAATACCTCCAATATCGTCTCTTCCTTTAGAATCCATAGCTAAGATCGAAACAGAAAACTAGAACACCTTGAATACAAAGGAATCCTAAGCCTGAAAATTTTAACAGGGTGAAGGACGCAGCCCAGTAAAGTAAGAACTGTATAGAATTTTGTTGTCTTTCATAACTCCCATTGAGGTAGAGCGTCCTTCAACCTGTAAAAAGGTAAAAATAGAGAAACCAGAAAAGATCCAATTCAGGCTTCTCCCAATTTAAATCTACTTCAGCAAGAAAGTTTAACTCGGAACAACAGGCGGTTTAATTTTTCAAAAAGGGATGTTTGATCCAAGAGTACCAAAATTTCCAACACAACCACCAAATAAAAATAGGAACTACCTCCAATGTTGACCAATACCCCAAAAAATTAATAATCTTCTGGAAAAAGTAGCTATCAGAAATAATAATAGTCAGAATAGAGAAGCTAAAAGATTATTCTTCTCTATCAGGAAAAAGAAACAGTTGACGCTAGAGTTCAAAATCCAATTTGTTATAAAAATAGAATAATTCCAATTAAAAAAAGAAAAGTAAACCTCCGGAAAACGACCCAAATCATGACTAACAAGCATCCACAAACTTAAAATAAGGTAAAACACGAGGTGGGGAAAAAGAAGAAGACAATTCAATAATGGTAATGACCTCTCAGCACAATCGAACCCGCGGAAAAGAAAAAGGCCCAACAAGAAGCATGAACGCAAACCCCAAAATGAATCCTTCCGAAAGAGGAATAGTTAAAAGATAACTGCCGTAAAGGTTGACTACGATGGCGAATGATGATGGAAGACGACCATGAAACAGGCGGTCAGTGGGGCATAGCTTTTAGGATTCAAAGCTAAGGGATAAGAAGCCGACGAAGTAGAACGAAATCATAGAGACGCCATTGGCGCAATCAGGAAAGCAGAGAATTCAAACACAGGATTCGGTTTCGTTGATCTCTTGGCCCCCTTCCCTTCCCTTCCCTTCCCTTCCCTTCCCTTCCCTTCCCAGTTGGTCCAAATGGGTTCGCGGCGGCAAACCCAGAGGACTCGAAAAGGTTATGGAAGAATACAGAATCCCACGACGACCAAAAATCGAAAACCAAATTTTCTAAAAAAGAAGAACCAGGAATGGGAATGGGAATCCAAACACCACGGAATTTGGGAACGATGAGGAGAAAAGCGCGGGGATTTGCCTACAATATAGGGCTCGGAATCGACGCTGACTCTTTCAAATTCGTTAGGTCTCTACGAAATTTAGTGAAACTTACAGGATTATAGAGAGACCGTAGATCAAATTCTATCTCAACTAAATTACCTGTATGTATCTCACCGATGAACCAAGATTCTCCTCGATTTTTACCCTAATTCCAGAACCCATATCCAACCATTATCTCATCTTTCACTCCCATTCAAAATATATATATATGAAGAAAAAATTCTTTTTGTTTTAGATATTTTTCCTGTAATAAATCAAAGAGATAAACTTGTGCTAAAAAAAATGATATAACATAATTTCTTCTATTGTCTTTTTTTAAATCACCACTAAAGGATAAGGTTTTATACCTTTATGAATCACTTTTAATCTTGTAATTTCGTTTCTAGGTATTATAAATTAGTTTTGTAATTATAGAAGAGTTGAGAAAGATTAATTAAAAAAAAAAAGTGCTTTCTTTATTAATTATTTAAATTAGATCAACCATAAGCAAGATAACAAGCTAAAAAGATGGAAGTTGTCAGTCACATAATTCTGTTTAGTATTAAATATATAAAGGTGGTCCTTATTTGACTCTTTAGTTTTTTATTTTATTAAATATATAAACATGAGACTATTTTACAAATGTCACTTTATTTTGTCTACGTTACCAATTTGCTTCATATTCCTCCAATAAGAAAAGGCATATAATGTTATCACTTAATTAAAGATATTAAAAATCACACTCCAAAATTTAATTATAAAAATAGTTTTCTTTTTTAAGTAGAGATTAAATACGGACAGCATATATTAAAGTTCAAATATTAGATTTATAACCTTCAAAATAAATACTACTATATTCCTAATTAAATTATATATTAAAAAAAACTTTAGACTTTTATACCATTTTAATTTAATAATTAAATTAGGAAATAAACAACGTGCAATGGTGAATACTTATATTACAAAAGAAAATAAAACAAAAAGAGTATATTTATATTTTAACATTGGTTTGAAAACTATAATTTCACTATTACTAATACATACGAATTAATTAATGAATATACCACTATTGTAAAACCAAGAATAGTCTGTAAATATCATCATATTATAAATAAATGAATTTTATAACATTTTCTTAGTCAAAATAAAATAAAAGGAGTATATTTATATTTTATCGTTGACTTGAAATTATAATTCTACTATTACTAATACATACGAATTGATTAATTAATCAATGAATATATTATTTAGATATCACTGTTGTAAAAACAAGGATAGTCCGTAAATATCATCCTATTACAAATAAATGCAAGACCTTACACTAAATTATTCGATTTTATAACATTTCTTAGTCAAACAAAAAAAATACATAAAATATAAGATATATATATATATATATATATATAATATTATATAGATTGGACCTTTTTTTTTAGGAAAATAGTTGCATTAAATATATATAGATTGGACTTTATGGTCTGTAACACACAACTTCTAAATTTTCTAAGTTGGGAATTGGATCTAACAAAATTTCACTATTTCTTCCCAGTTTAATGGATAATGACGTGTCCCAATGGGAGTTTACGTGGGGTCATTTTCGTCAAAATAGTGCAACTTTTTAGTTTTTCTTTATATATATAATTATTATTATTTCTCCTTTTTTTTAAGTATAAGAACACACATTCACTACTTTACTAATTACTGGCTTTTAGTTATTTTACTATATAGTATATTTTCATTGATTTCTACATTATATTTAACCAACAAGTGTCTTCTTCTTTAATTTTATGTTAGATCAAAAGGAAAAACTAAAGAGATACACCCCTTTACATTGCAATTGAAGCGTGACTTCTATTCACTTCGCTTTGGGTTACAATTAAAGAAGTTGGACTTTTTTCGCTATAGAGTTAAATTTTATAGGTTTAATTTGATATATTTTTGTAGTACTTTATATATGATAAGCTGTTGATGCTATATATATAAAAGATAAATCTATTCTCTTGAATGCTGTGATTGTTTGTAAAAATTAAAAAAAATTGTTAATATGAACYTAACATAGCTCAATTGGTTGGAAAATATATCCCTAACCAAAAGGTCGGAAGCTTGGATCTCTACCTCCACATATCTCATTGAACTCCAAAAAAAAAACTATATTTGTGTTGTAAAATTATTTTTTTGGGTGAATTGTAAAAGTGAAAAATCTTATGTATTCAAAATTTAAAAGATTAGAACCGTGGATAAGATGACCTTTTCATCCCAAATAATAATATTTTGATACCAATACCTTAGCCTCTACCTTTTTTACAATAATACATATGCGTGAAAGATTAATTTTATTAGTTTATGTTAATGCAAAAATTTGGATGAGTTGAAAAGGTACGAACTTGGACCGCTAAAAAATATGCCAGTTTGGAAAGGTGAGCAACAGAGATGAGCTTGGACCAACTCTTTAGATGGGGAAAGAATAGTCTGTGCAAGAAAGAAATACTACACACCGGTGGGTGCTGCTAGCTAAGTAATACTTAAGTCAAACCTGCAGTTTTTGTGGTTTAGACTAGGACGCAGTGATTTACCTTTAGGGGCAATATCCCTTTATTCACGGGAGGACAATAATAATGACTTTCCAAACACCAAGACCCACCTTATCAAAGAGTTGTCATGCTAACTTAGTTGAGCTGAGGTGCGATGCTATTGAACCTCATCATTAAGATGAATTTTGCACCTCATTCCTTACAAGGCCTAACTAGGTCTATATCACCGCTCAAATCAATGACTGACCTTGTTCTTTCAAAAAAGATGTCGCAGTTAGGTTAGGTTAAATTAGCTCTTAACCAATTGAGTTAGACTTGGTTTGGTAGCTTAATTTCAATTCGATTCATATAGCTTTAAAAGTTTTAATCTATTCCTTATAGTTTGAGGAAACTTCATAGATTGTCCCCAAACCATTTTTTACCTAATCGAAAACGCACTCACTGTCTTCATTTTTACCTAACATAATTTTTACCTAACATAAATTCTAATGTAGTAAGATAATACAATCCAATCAAATAGAAAATATTAATTCTTTAAATCATCTAGTTTAACTAAATCATAAACATTCCATTGAAACTTTTAAAATCATAGAGATGAAATTGAAATCTGACTCCGATGAAATTAAATACGTGTGTATATAATATAATTTGAAGCTATGTTTTATTAGACATTTGGAAAACGAGTGGTAGTGAGGTGAGGATGCCGACATAAGAGAGAGCATAGACAGCTCCAAATACAACGCATCAAATAATTGTACGAAGGAATCTCCCCGGCCCTTTCTACCGGTTACCTTTCGTACCGGTAAACCTTGGTTTCATTTTCTTGCCCTTGCCCATGCGACAGGGCATGGCCAGTCAATAATATGGTCAAATTTGTGGACGTCACTCTCAATTTTCAAACTATATATTATACTACCAATTCCCACTTTAATTTCTGTCTGTGTATATAAATAACGATAATACCTATAAGCCTATTTTTTGGGGATGTTAAGAAAGGTTGATCCTGGTTCCACTTTCATCAACTTGGTTAATAGTTTTTTGTTTCATTTCTAATATTTATAAGTGTTCGGACCAATTTACGCCTATGGACAATCGTCTATGTTTAGTTGTAAAAGAAACACGTATGAAATTATTCTAACATCTGAAGTCATTCTCTCTTAATATTTTTGATTTATCTTGACTTATTTGAACTAATAAACTAATTCATGATAGTTGATTAGGTTAATAATATTGACTAGTTTGATTTTATATTGTTTTCAAAATTGAAAATGGAAAATTAATTTCAAGTCGTTAGTTTTTTATTTTTCAAAATCAAGCTTATACTTCCACATAATGTATTCATTTGCCTTGTTATCAATTCTTTGTAAATACTTTTTAAAAAATAAGAGCCAAATTTTGAAAAAAAAAATAATTTGCAAAAACTTACTTTGTGTGTTTTAAAATTTGACTAAAAATTCAAATGTGTCCACCAAAGTGTGAAAAATGTAAATTTTTAGAAACATGAGACTAAAAACAAAATCATTATCCAACATGACCTAAATAAATAATTTTATATAGTATTTTTATAGTTTATGGAACCAAAAAAAAAAATTTTTTTGAAGCTTTGGGCCGTGGAATTGGGCTGAGTGAGGGAGTCATCAAATTTTGGGCCGGCAAGAGCTCAGCCCAACCGTTCATTGGATGTCATGGGCTGTATTGTAGGCAGTAGGGTAGAGTCGGGTTCCATGAAGCGTACGGCGTATCAAAGTATTTATTTATTCAATTAAAAATAATTAAAGTTGACAATTGCTTCAGCTTAAAATTATTACAGATTTTTTATTTTTGTTTTCATCTTCTAAAATATATGTGGATATGTATTTTATTTTTATGAAGATGATTATAAACATAACCTCAATTAAAAAAAATGATTGGAATTATAACATTTCTTCTAACTTCATGCACGTTTCTCGAGAGAATTATAACATTTCTTTTTTAAAATTTTGATTTATCATCGTTTAGCTTTAAAAATGATAATGGGAACATATTTTTTTATACGCTTATAGCAATTACTAATTAATCTAGAGACATAACCACTAATTTATGTGGGTTAAAGTTCTACTTTATACTTTTTTAATTTGTAACATCTAATTTCTAAGCCAACTCTAGCTATTGTAAAGATTATTGCCAATATAATTTTAATCTATGTTACATATATTTGGGTCATGTAATTTTATAAACCCTTTTTATTTTTGTCCACCTCCAATTTGGAATCATATGTAATATTCTTATTCTAAAATGGGTCAATTGAACTTGATTCTCTTGTTTCATGCCAAAAGTAAGAAACAAAGTGTTGTTTGAGAAAGATATGAGTGTCTTTTATTGCATATTTATTTACTAAGTTACATTAATTACTTTTGACATCTTTAATTTTTTAGTACTTGACAAATTGCTTGACGATTATTCTTAATTTCCAATCACATCATCAAAGTTTGTGGGCAATGTTAGAATAATTACTATTTTTTTCCTCTATAATG